TATTTTAATGTAAAAATAAAAATTATTTCTTATTAAAATTTATAATTTTAATATAGAGAGAAAATTTCAATTTTCACTATATTTTATTAGTAAATTTAGCCTGAGTCATTACTTTTGGTCGCCACTTATGATTTTTAAGAAACAAGTCCATTAATTTAAAAATTAATATAATAAAAATTCAAAACAAATATTTATATTAAAAAATAACTTATATTTCAATTTTATAAAACTGCTTTTTATATTCTAACAAAAAAACGTTTTTGTAATTTTATTACATATTCTTATATATGATATATCTTAACCCTGATATATTATTAATATTTTATATTTATAATTTGATTATTTATTTCTTAAAAGGTTATATAATCTAACTCTTATCAAAATTCCTCTTTGCGGTAAATATCTACAGAGTGTAACGCATCCACTCGATTCTCTAGTTCCGACTGAATCGAATGATGGACTTTACACTCGATTCCCGCCACTGGGTCCCGAACTCAAAGAGACTGACTTTACATGCAATAACTCATGATGGAATGATCAAGCAATTTCATATTACGTGACACAAACATTGGTAAACTAACAATTCCTTTTTTTTATTTCTAAAGCGTTAACGTTAAAATAACAATAATTTTTGTTAATATAATATACGCTATTTGGGCTTGGACTTTAAAATAGGTGGCTGAGCTTGGTGGCTTCGAACAAAAATCAGAAATCAGACATGTGAACAAATTCTTAAAAAAGGAAATATATATAAGTACCAAACATATGATATTAAAACTAATCTAACTTTAAACGGGCAAAATTGAGTATACGCAATCAGATGGTTTTCTCTTAACGTTAAAGAAAATGAAAAAGGAGTATTCATATACGGCTAGTGTGTTCCCTAATCTCTACCAGACTAAATTTTCGTCAAATTACCGAAGTCTTGCGATTTTACGGAGACAATATTTTTAACATAGGATTGGACAGATAATAACGATGTTTGGCCTATCATTAAACAACATGTCAACTTCATTAGCAAATAATGTATCAATAAATATAAGATAAAGAATCAATAATATAAAGATAAAGAAAAAAACAATGTTACTTATAACAATGCGATCAAACAGTTAATAATCAAAAATGAATTATGGTACATTTGATCAAGCAAAGAAACAAACAGTTATCGTTTTGAATGAACCAGAAGACGACGACTCGATAAATATAATCGCCGAGCAAATTCCTTATACTAAAACGCCAAAATCGCGTTCAAGTCATGAAAGTCGTTATAATATATTCCGAAATACTATTAATGAAGTGATTTGGACTATTTGTAAGTTTGAAAATAATTAAGTACATATATAATCTTTTTAAATTAATCTTTATACTTTTTTATGTATTCTTGTAGATTTTGCGTATTTGGCTTTTTTTATATCATTTCTTTTTTATTATCTCTTTTTTATTATTATTTAAAATAATGTTTTCTACTTAAATTTTTATTCCGTTACAAGTCCAATTATCAATGACATGTTTTAATGACAAGTGAAATTCTATCATAAACAAATCTCTAAAATGCAAATTTATTAGAAATTAAAAATTTTTATCTGTTTCCTGCCTTTATTTAACACACAATAAAAAATATTTATTAGTAAAAATAAAATTTGAATATAGAATGTTAATTCAAATTTTAATATTTTTATTAGTAAATTCAGGAATTATCAAGATATTTTTTTACAGAATTGTAAATTAATTTACTAATTTTATTAAAATTATTGCTTAAATAGATTTTTATTAACTTTAATGAATGCTTATATATATAAATCTTTTATAAATAAGAATTCTATTAATTAATTATATATAAGCTTTTATAAATTGAAATCAAGTCATGCTATATATATAATTAGAGAGATATATTTTATTAAAAAGATTTCTTTTATATAATTATTCTTTCTAAGTAATTTTTTCTAAACATATATTCTGTTATTATAATTTCAAGAAAAATATATTTAAAAAAATTTTTCTGTAATAATTATATAATAATTATTAATATAAATTAGTATTTTGAATTAATTAATTTAAAATAACTTCAAATTTAGCATATAAATAAGCTAATAAAAGAGATTTATTTCTTATAATCAAAATATATTAATAATTTTAATAAATTTAAAACTAATAAATTTTATAAAAAATTTATAATATTTTTAGAAAATTTTAAAAAATTTGAATTTTTTAATTTTTCAAAATAAAAAATATAATTACTTTTATTTATCTTTTCTATTATAATAAATTATATCTGATTAATACTTATTTTTCTTGTCTTAAAAGTATTAGTAATTGAAGATTTCAAATTTAAATAAGTTATTTTATTTAATTAGAAAGATTTATAAGCTTAATCTAAATAATAAAAACTTAATTTTTTATTTAATATATACTTTTTAATTTTTATATTAGTTTTTATATTTTTTACTTAAAAAAATAATTAATATTAAAATTTTTTGATATATTTTATACTTTATATTTTGTAATTATATCTTTTATTTATTTTTATTTTAATATAATACTTATAAGTATTAATATATAAAAATCTTTAAAATAATTTTAATTTTACTTAATATTATAAATAATTTAATTTATATTTCAACTTATTATTATAAATTATATTTTATATAAAATCTATTTATATAGTAATAACTTATAATAATTAAAGATAAATAACTTAATTATTTATTTAAGCTATAATATATAAGATCATTTTATTAATTATTATAAATAAGATATTATCTAAATATTTTTCAAAGTTTAGAAAAACTCTTTTTTTTTCTTGATTCTTTATATATTACTAATAGCCTGATTGAACTCTTTTATTTTTTCTTGATATGAATAGTTTTAATTTTATAACTTATAATTATTTTTATTATTTAAAAATATTCAGATCTGAGATAAAAGTATAAAACAGAAAGATCTTATTTATAATAAAAAGAAATAAATATGAAATATGAATAAATTAATAATAAATTTATAAT